TTTACATGTATCTTCATCGTCCTTTGGGCCAAATTAACTCAGTCATGTCTTTGGGAAGCGCCTTACTTCTCTGCGAAGTGTTTAACAGCAGTAGGCAGCTTCTTCCATGTCACTCTGACTCGAGCTGCAGGGCTCGGTCCAAGGAGACCGGTCTCTGCTGTGACCATGGTTTCGTACTGCCTGCACTCGGCTCCCCAGCCAACTTTGGCCTGTTGTGAAGCAGTTTGGGTTTTTTTACTGGTTGTGTTGGATAAAAAATGTCAGTGTCAAAGACAAGCATAAAAAAGGGTTTCTTACAGAGACTTTGAACTTGCTCATCAGCATTCCGTCAGCACACAACTTCCAGTTGTTATCAGCAGCCAAGGCAGCCAGGATGATCTGGATTCTGGCAGTGGGTTTGTCCAGGTACGCTGCCAGTTGGTATCCATGCACCATTTTGTCAGCTCTGATAGCTCGGACAATAACCGCAAAGACTGGAGCAACTTCATTGCCCAGGAATTTGTTCTTTGAGACAAAACAAACTCATAGAATAAGTAAAGAGAGGAGAGGAGACATTACTGGGAAGAACGCTGCCTGAATTACCTTTTGGTAGATGGTCTCGAAGCTTGAAGCGCTGCTAGTAGAACGTGTTGCAGAGATGGCCTGAGAGTTCAGAGCCTACGATCAGATGGAAATGCAGTTAGTGATGATGTGTGATGTTACCAGTTAAAGACTGAACCTGTTCTGTTTTACTGGTCGTACCTCTTTCTTATGGTTCTTCTTGAAATGTGGTTTGTAGATTATTTCCTGTTGAGAAAGGAGTATTTTTATCAGACTTCATTCCTACTGTGATGTATGTGTCAGTTCTTCATGATGCATCACTGACACGTTACCTTTGAGTGGCGAACACTTGAACGAGAGGAGCTTGAGCTGGCGCTAAAGAGAGATGCGAGGCTGGATGCAGAGCTGGACCTTGAAGAGATCGGAGATCTTGAGGAGCTGATGTGGCTGCTCCTGCTGATGCTTCTGCTGCTGCTGCTGCTCCTGCTGCTGCTCCTGCGTATGCTCTTTCTGCTGCTGCTCTTGCTGATGCTCCTGCTGCTGGAACTAGCTGAGCTGACGTTTGAAGACACAGAAGAAGACTTTGAGCTCCTGGAGCTAGATGAAGACGACATGGAGCTGCTCTTCCTCCCAGGAGCCAGAATCTTGTTGAGCTTCCTCAAGACCGGATTGGCTTCGACCACCTCCTCTTCACTCAGATTGATCTGTTTAATCAGCTTCTCTGCAGCCTTTGGACCAACTTGAATCTCAATCTCCAGTCTTTCAAGGGCTTCACCCTCTGTTGAACATGTCAACAATTGTTGTTATTATTAACCATTGATTCTTTTTTTTAGCTTTCCATTAAAAAAAACCTACCTTGTTTCCAAGAAATAACAAAAGAGTGTTTTCCAGCCATTTTGAAGAGGGCAGCGTCGCTGATGTAGGCAGCGTTATCTGTGGCGATCTTGATGCAGCCTTTCAGTCCGATGGCAGCAGCACAGTACTTCTTCCTGAAGTGAGCTGCTTTGGGTTTTATAATAGGCTTGGCAGCAATTAAGTCATTGGCCACGACCTCTGAGGACCTTGACTGTGGAGCAGTAACATTATCTTCAGTACAAGAGATGGAACTGCCATGTTGAACTGACACATATGCATTCAAAATAAATGGAAGCTAACCAGACTAGCAGCAGCAGATGACCTTGACGTTGATTTGAGAATCTCACTTGAGATGGGCTCCAGCACCTGGGCAGGGACAAGTGGAGTGATCCTTACAGCTGTCAGGTCCTCAATATTTCTTGCCAAGGCATATGTCTCAACGCTGTTGCAGAAACAAAAAATTGAAGCCTGTGGTTTGAGGAAACCAACTTAACAAAGTTGCAGGAAACAAACTTACTGCACAGCTGCGATGTCTTCAGGTGCAGAAATGGGCAGGGCTTGGATCTTAAAGTGACCCTCGTTGATGTTCAGTCTTGCAGCGATCTTGGCAGGTATAATGGAGTTGATCTTGGCTCTTGACAGCAGAGCAGCCTGGACCACAGCGGTGTTTATGCCCATCACAGCAAAGGTGTTCACGACGACACTGAGAGGAGATCAATTCACATATTTTCATAAAACGTCATAGAATTCATCTTTATCTTTCAGGTGTTGGAGCTGATGAGGACCTTGGTCTGATCTCAGTCTCAAGCTGCACATCGGTCTTCATCAGGTGAGCGAGCTGGAAGTGTTCACCCAGTTCTGGTGATGTGGTGGCCTTTACTGTGAGATAAATGAATAGAAATACATCAAATATATATATATATATATATATATATATATATATATGCCTTTTTACTATCTGCCAGAAATATAGCAAAATAGCATCAGTTTAAACTAACAAAAAAAACAGAAAGACAGAAAACGACATAATAGCTAAGACTGAAGCATCATCAGACAGAAAACAGACATAATAGCTAAGACTGAA